TATGGTGTTGGAGGAAAATATTGAAAGTGCCATGGGCTGCCAAAAGAACCAACAGATCTGTGTTGGAAGAAGTGCAGCTAGAGTGCTCCTTGGAGGCCAGGATGACCAAACTTCGTCTTTCATGCTTCGGACATATTGTCAGGAGGGACCAGTCGCTAGAGGATATCATGTTTGGTAAGGTGGAGGGTCAGAGAAAAAGAGGAAGAACCCCAGCAAGACAGATTGGCCAAGTGGCAGCATCAATGGGCTCAAGCATGGCAACAATTGTGAGATTGGCCCAGGACCGGGCAGTGTTTCATTCTGTTGTACATAGGGTCGCTATGAGTTGGTACCGACTCAATGACACCTAACAACAACAACTACAACATATGATTGTATAATCCTGAAACTTGATTAGGTTTTTGTATATAACAACAGAAAAGAGTTAGAAAATAAGACTTTAAAAATATAATTGCAATATTTTTTAACTCCATGTAACCCCAATCAAAATCTCAAGGTTTTTTTGGAAAATGATGAGTTGATTCTAGTATGTACATGGGAATGAAAAAAAATCACGATACACCAAAAGAAAAAGATAAGAGAATGAACTCTTCTGTAATTCAAAAGTATTACAAAGCCATAAGAATTAACGATAGTGTGGCATTAAGAAGAGAAAACTAGATAATGGGATGAGAGAGCACAGAAAGCCCAGAAGCAGACCACGTATATGCACCTTATAAGAAAGAGAGAACTGTAGAGAGTTAAGAAAAGCAACGACCTTTTAATCAATGGTACTCTGTTCATTGATATTATTTAGGTAAAGAAATGCAGCTTGCCTCCTTCCTGTACATCATATACAAAAGTCAATTACAAATCTAAATGAGCATGGTAAAATAATACAGACTCCAATAGGGGAATATCTTCAGGACTTCACAATAGGAAAAATACTCCTTAAACAAATTACAATAAGAATTATCCATTAAGGAAAGGAATTGATAATTGAAATATTTTAATAAGAATATCGTTTATCAAGTGATGCTATTAAGAGCACAGGCAGGAGTCAGAGAGTGGTAGAAGATATTTGTAATACATATAATCAATACAGGGCCTGTCTAAATATGTAAGTAATTCTCCCAAATCATTAAGAAGATAATACAATAAAAAATGAACAAGAAATTCGAACATGAATTTACTAAAATGTTACCAAAATATGTAAAAAGATGCTTAACTTCATTAATTACTAGAGAAATACAACTAAAACCCTACAGTAACATACAAGGGCATGAAGCAACAGAAATGCATGTGAACTTTCGTTGTCGTT